AGCTTCTCATCCTGCCTGACAAGAGGCAATGCTAAAGGAATTTCAGGCTCTTGAGTCCAATCAAACTTGGGACACTGTCCCCCTTCCCCTCACAAAGGCCATCCCTTGTAAGTGGGTTTACAAGATTAAACAGAGGGCAGATGGTTCTATTGAAAGGTATAAAGCAAGGCTTGTTATCAAGGGTGATACTCTGAGAGAAGGTATTGACTTCACTGAGACATTTTCCCTTGTTGTCAAGCTAACAACCATCAAATGTCTCCTGACCTTAGCTGTGAAGAGATGTTGGACTGTTTTTTGGTTAGATGTTAACAATGTATTTCTTCATGATAACCTTCATGAGGAAGTCTATATGAATATTCCACCTGGAATGGATGTCTCCTCTACCTCTGAATCTCCTCATTTGGTCTGCAGGCTCAAGAAGTCTTTATATGGCCTCAAGCAGTCTTCTAGATAGTGGTTTTCTAAACTGTATGAACCTCTGCACTCCAGTGGCTATATTTCCAGTCTCAATGACTATTCTCTATTCACAAAGTCTTCCTCTGGTTCTCTGGTTGTCTTAGCAGTGTATGTTGATGATATTTTGCTGGCTGTAATGACAGTTCTGAATTGAATTCTTTGAGACTGTTCTTGGACACTCAATTTAAAATCACGGATCTAGGTTTGGTTCATTATTTTCTGGGTTTGGAAATTTCCCAGCACCCCAACGGTACTTGATGAGTCAACACAAATACACCACTGACCTTCTTCAAGAGTTCAATTGTCATCACTTCTCCACTGACCTTCTTCAAGAGTTCAAGTACATACAGAAGACTGATTGGGAAGCTTAATTTCTTACAACACACAAGACCTGCCATTTTCTTTTCTGTACAACATCTCAGCCAGTTCCTTCAGAAGCCCCAGGTCCCTCATATGATGGCTGCTATTCATGTTCTCAGATATCTTTTACATGACCCTGCTCAAGGTATTTTGCTCTCTAGTTCTGATGATATGTCTCTTGTGGGATTTTCTGATTTTGATTGGGGTTATTGCGCAATCTCTCGCAAGTTTGTGAGTGGATTTTATATCACTCTTGGTGGCAGTCCTGTATCTTGGAAAAGTAAGAAACAAAGGTTGAGTATAGGGCCTTGAGAAAACTGGCTGCAGAGGTTGCTTGGTTGGTCTGACTACTAGGTGATCTTGGTTTGGCTATCTCCAACCATGTCCCTGTCTATTGCGACAGTCAGGCCGCACTCCGCATAGCCAAGAATCATATTTTCCATGAATGCACCAAACATATCGAGATTCATTGTCATTATATGTGTGAATGCATCACTGCCGGTCTTATTACCTTACATTTTGTTTCCACTGCAGGTCAACTGGCTTATATTATGACTAAGGCCTTGCCCAGTCAGTTGCATTATGGTATTCTTTGCAAGCTTGGTATTTCTTCACCCTCAAGCTTTGGGGGGGAGGGGGGAGTGTTGGAGCCCACAATGAAAACTTAGCCACACACAGAGCTGGCCCAACAGTGTGACCCGACCCACTTTCCTTCTCTTTTACCAATTACTTGTAATACTGTATTAGTTGTATTTTTTTATTTTTTCTCTGTAAATATAAATACTCCTTTAGTGAAATAATAAAGATCAGATGGTTTTATTCTTCCACACATCATCTCGTCTTTCTCCCGACCCTTCTAGGGTTTTCTATCACTAATTCTGCCATAGCTCACTGAGCTTCAATCTAACATGTTGCACTATGGTTTAGTTCCTCCTCCTGAGTTTTTCTCTATTTTGTGCGGTCTAGGACCCTAGTTTAGTCATTAGTGGTTCAAACATATGAGGCTTATTTGGTCCAAAATCTTGGGGTTATGGGCCCATGGCCCAATCACTTCAAACTGGTTCGTACTTCATTTCAATTTTCTTTGTTGACTACACACTTCTTAATCTATAACAGCTACTTCCTCCTAGATTTGGTCTTATGTATTTTGGTTCACAGGTCCGAATCACTTTGCACCTGCTTGAATACACCTAACAAATGTGTTGATTTTAAATAAAGTTCAAATTTCTACTTCTGATATTGATTAATGGTTGATATTTTTAATGGGTTAGGGACTTGGGGCATTTATTAGGCAGTGCCCATTATATGTTTAATCTTAAGGTATTGTTGCCTATCCTCAATAAAAAGGAATTAAAGCTATGCACAAGTCCAGGTAAAATGTGGTCGAAAAGGTGATAATTTATGCGACGATAGCTTTTCTCCATTTTCTTTTTCAAACAAGAACTTGAAGATGGCCCATAATTCTAAAGTTGATGGCCATTAATTCAACTCGTTCTTCACTTATTGAAGAAAACATTTTTAGTGAAAAATATTTTCCTACATATTAAACACACCAGTGATGTTTTTTTCCTACTTATATTAATAATTCCACAAGATTTCATAAACCGAATAATCCCATATATAAATCAGAGTATCATTTCTTATCTATATCAGATAATACACAAAAACAATGTACAGTCTACATGATAAAAACATTTGAGTTAAAATGTGGTTAGATATTTTGTCTAGAGCTAGAACTAATGTACAGTCCATATGATATACACACACATTTTAAATGTGGACGCTAACAAGTGATTGACATGTCAATTTCATTCTGAAATTTTGCTGTGATACCAGAAAAGAGTAAAGATTATCTCCAATAAATGACAATACGCAAGAAACTCCTCACTATGCATAATACGGTAAGTAATTATATATATATCTTCAGTCTTCACATGGTAAGCAAATATGCTATTACTAAATACAAAATATACACAGAATATGTCGTGAAATATTACGAATTTACTCATTCCTATTATTATATGAAAGAGAATGACCCTGTCAAAATTATTAGGAGAATAATTCGTTTGTTTAACCAACAAGTAAGAAAGCTAATCGTGGTGGTGGTCAACAGTCTCTGCAAAGATCATGAGATAAGAGTATATTCTCTCCACCTTCCTTTTCAATTTTCTTTGTTTATAGTGATCATGACGTTTTCCAAAATTATATGACTTCATTTGCTCCACTGATATGGTTGGTTTATTAAACGATTGATTTGAGGGGTTATAGAGATTATGTATGCAGAAAGTTCTCCTTTTTTAAACCAAAAAGTGGTTACGGAAAAAATTTAAAGAAGACAGTAGTAGTAAAAACAAAAAGATGTTAACTTTCTTAATGGCAATTAAGGAAAATCATGGCCTGGAAATCAAGATTTGGATTCGATCTGAGCAGCCAATAAGTAAAGTTAAACCGGCGAGTGAGAGATTCACTATTCATTCATAATGCTTTTCAAAAAGAAAATACGTATTGATTAATACATGTAGAGGAGTATTAGACCGTGTTAGAAATTATTCATTACGCTAATAAGGTATGTAACTATCTTATAATTAACTATGATATCCAATGAAATATTATCCAATATTCTCTTACTAAGTTTAAAAATTTAAACATTTTCTAAATTATGACTTCATTAATATTTCTTTTGACTTGAAATACATCAATTTCCAAACAAAAAATCGGATTAGTAAGTTAAAAGCATCCCAATTTAAACACCACAATGTATGAACTCGAATTTTATTAACCTCTTCATTGCTAGATTTAACTCCCCTTAACTCTGTGAAGGAAAACAAAGCTTCGTATTTGTTTCGTATTAGATATGTTGTTGGATTGACTTTTAAAATATAGTTTATAAGTTAAAGGCCAAAATCTTAGATAGCCCATTAAACTTGGCACGTTTTGTAAAATAAATATATAAACTTATGGGGTGATCAGATAAACACTTGAACTCGTCCAAAGTGTAATTTTTAAACACCTATGTATGTTAGACTTTGTGCATGAGGTCCAAATGCCACATACATGACAAATGAACGAATAATATATTAATTAACACGTGTATTTTCTTTTTCATGTAAGCAAATAATAGTCTAAAGCAATACCTTTCATTTGTTCATCTTCTCTCTCTTCCCTTTCTCATACCCAACTCCCACCCCATTCCTTATCTAATTTGTATCATAGTTCTTGTAATTCTAAAGTTAAATTTCATCCAAACTACAACATTAATAAAATATTATTAATAGACTTTCTTTTCATATTATAGATAGATTTTTTTTTCTTTTCAACAAATGAGTATTTTTTTTCATGATATAAAAAAGTATTTTTTTTCTTTTTAACAAAAAAATTACTTTCTTTTCATGATGTAGAAAAAATATTTTCTTTTATTTCAACAAAATGATGAAGTAAAAAGTATTTTCTTTTCATAATGTAGAAAAGACATTTTATTTCATTTCAACAAGATGAGTATTTTCTTTTCATGATGTAAAAAAAAGTATTTGCTTTTATTTCAATAAAATGAATACTTTATTTTCATGTTGTAGAAAGAGTACTTTTTTTTCAACCAAAAAAAGAGTATTTTCTTTTTAGCTATGGAGCACCAATTTCAACGTTGTTTTTGCGTAAAAAAGTAATATATCACATTAATTCCTTTGGGTTTGTATGAATTTTTAGAAGAATAATTAAATTCTTGAAGAAAATAGAGTCCTGATAACGTTGAGTTTTGGGAAGGGGGAGGAGCAAGGAAACATGTGGACTTGGGAAAGAGGGGTGAGGAGAGTACCATACAAAAATATTTTCTACTCTTTAACCAAATACGAAAAATATTTTCTACTCACTAACCAAACAAGAAAAATAAGTGATAAAACCACTCATTTTTCATGAAAATATTTTACTTTGTACCAAAAAAACCCTTAAAGTTGAGAGTAAAAAAAAAAGGGAGGAAAGTGGAAGCACATCCCCTTTCTCTCACCAAAAAATTAAGTCACGACAAATGTGCTGCCACGTCACAGAAGTAGTAGATGTTAAAATCACGTGACAGAAAACCGACGCCTTTTATCAATCCACGTTTCGTATTCGGTCCTAATCGTGCCGCTAAATGTTATCGGTCACGAAGAAAATGCGTAACTACATGTCACTCTAGCACTCTGCTTTCATCAACTTTTCAGTAGTATAAATTAGAACCATCGTCTTGTGTCTAGGTTGTTCAATTGGAATCTTCACTCAACCAGTAGTCACTCTCTGTCTCAATCTGGTAACACTTCCCTTTCTCTCATATCTCTATACATTTTTTCTTCAAGTTTAGGTTTTTTTTTATGCTCTTCATTTCTTGATTGCAGTGTGAATCCTTTCATATTTAGAAATTACTTGAAAACTACTATAAAGGTTGAATTTTTCTTTAATTGTTGATAATATTTTATTAATGCGATACAAAATTGTAGCAAATAAACAAATGTTGATTTAGCATTTGAATGTTGTAAATTAAGCTTGAAAAATGCTAGATTTGCTTGTCGGTGTCAGCTGATATTGTTTCAAGTGAGGAAAGAAAGAAATGAAAGGAGGGATTTCTAATTTTTGGGTGAAACAGGATAAGAAGAGATAATAGTGTTGATGGAGCTGAGCAGAAGTTATCGTAGTTTGTCTTTTTTGTTTGTGATATTATCAACTTTTTGATATTTTACAAATGAATTCAAATCCCAGTGGAGGCAAAAAATTACTAGGCCATTTCTCACGTCCTCAGCCTTGACGGGCAGAGTTTTGTATTAGTGGGAGTAGCAGGTAGCCAGCCAGTGGAATAGTCCTGGTGCGCGTAAGCTGGCAGGATGCTACCGTCATAAAAAGGAATGAAATCTCAAATATCGATCAACTTAAACATATGATTTTATCAACAACAAATTGTTCGAATGAGGGTGGGTGGGAGTTTCCACTTTTTAAAATTAAGGGCTTTGTTTAATGTTTGGACTGTGTGATTGAGTTCTTCTAAGTCATCATTTATGTCATGTAGGGGTTTTGTGATAAAAATTACTGAATACTTTTGTATGATTTATGTTTTTGTTATGTATCTTGAGATTCATTGAAGTATCTGTTATTGTCATTGAAGTAGAACATGGCGGAAGCTAGTGCACCAGCTGTCCCAAGTAATGAGTTATTGGAGTGGCCAAAGAAAGATAAGCGCCGGATCTTGCATGCCGTGTATCGCGTCGGTGACCTTGATCGTACCATCAAGTATGTGGTTCGACATAATGAGATCCTTTACAAGTGTTGATCTTGTTTTTGTGATAAGATAATAGTGGAATCTTTTTTTTCTTCTTCTTTTCTAGGTTTTACACAGAATGTTTTGGGATGAAATTGTTGAGGAAGAGAGATATCCCAGAGGAGAAATACTCCAATGCTTTTCTTGGTTTTGGCCCTGAAGAGTCTCANCCTTCCTTTCATAAAAGAAAAAAAAAGGAGGTTGGCCATCTCTACGGACTTCACCATGTGACCAGCTTCTGAAGACAATGTGAGCTTTGAGATTTAGTCTCTCATCTTAAAACTCCTTCCCTGAAGATTACAGGGATTGTTATTCTTGCTTTGTTATCTGATTTTTCTTTTTTCTCTTTTTGGGTGGGGTGGGGGATTAGAGGATAAAGTATGAGATACTTAGCTTACAGTTCCTCCAATAGGGAGCCTCTTGGAGAAGGGGATACCAGGAGAGGACTTGATTTACTGAACCAAAGGTGCATTAGTTGGTTAAGGAGCATATATTTTAAATAGTTTACTGATTATCCCACATCAAAAATTGAACTATATACTGTATCTTGAAGTGTAATTTCAAATCTGACATAGATAGAATTATACAGATTATGGAGTTGATAAGTACGACATTGGAACTGGCTTTGGGCATTTTGCTATTGCAACACCAGATGTAAGTGCTTTTTTGTTAGCAAAATCACGTGGCACCATTTATTGCTTCTAAATTTGCTATCTTTGCTTCTTTTCTTAAGGTTTACAAACTGGTTGAGGAGATAAAGGCCAAGGGTGGAACTGTCACAAGGGAGCCTGGTCCTGTCAAGGGTGGATCTACTGTTATTGCTTTTGTCAAAGATCCTGATGGCTACCTCTTCGAAATCCTCCAGCGAGCGTCTACTCCTGAACCACTTTGCCAAGTGATGCTTCGTGTGGGTGATCTTGAGCGCTCCATCAAATTCTACGAAAAGGTGACCTTTTCTTACTTATATTTGCTCTTTACAGATATTCTCGTGTATATCCTGGATTTTCCAAATGCAAACTTCATACAGAAATTTCTAGCATGAACTGTGAAGAAAAAGAGAATGCTTGCCACTTTTGTGGACATGCATTTATCTCATTTCTAGTTTACACAATACAGTAAAGGCAATACAATAAAAAAAATTGATCCCATAGTCAAATTGTGAATAGCATTGGGTTAGACACGTTTGGTGGGATAAATCCTTACTTTTCTTTAAGCTTAAACAATGCGGGCCTAAATTGGTTCAAGTTACACCCACTATGACAGCAATTCAGAAAGAGGATAATTGCATTGTGTTCGTATTTGTTGCTCAAGATATATAGGTCAGGTTGTTACTCAGTGTCAACATGTTATTATAATTATGTATGTTTATGTATTTGTTTATCTACAAGTGTAGTGTGCAATTTGTGGTAATTTGACAGAGTTTGTCTTTGAATGCAGGCACTCGGGATGCAACTGGTGAAGAAAGTTGACAGACCAGAGCAGAAGGCATGTTTGATTATTCTCTTGCCAGCCTTGGAGCTCGGATTACATATACAATATGACTGACGCTTATCTTTTATGATTGTGCAGTATTCCATTGCTATGATGGGATATGCTCCAGAGCACGAGACGGTTGTACTTGAGTTGACATACAACTATGGTGTGACCGAGTACACAAAAGGAAATGCTTATGCGCAGGTTGCAATAAGCACTGATGATGTTTACAAAAGTGCCGAGGTTGTCAATCTTGTTACCCAAGAGCTCGGAGGAAAGATAACTAGACAGCCAGGACCAATTCCTGGACTCAACACTAAGATAACTTCTTTTCTGGATCCAGATGGCTGGAAAACTGTAAGTGTCTGGTTACCATACGCTGTATCATTACTGTGCTTTTGCAAGGCATCTTAATGGGATATGAGCTCATTACTGTGTCCTTGCCTATGGTGTGTTTATGTGTAGGTGCTGGTAGATAATCAGGATTTTCTGAAGGAGCTGGAATCATCAAAGTAACTGGTCAAGAAGATGCTTGGTTGTATTTTACTAGTACTAGATATAAATAAATTGTCAACTGTGGTAGTTATCTTCACATGCAGACTTATGCAGATGGTTTAGCACCGTAATCAACTATGTTTAAGGACTTTTCTGAGACATTCTCGTGTGTTACAATACAAATATGACATCTTTGCCTTATTATGAGTATGTTGTAGTGCTCCCTCTTCCTTTTGAGTTTCTCTAATGAATGAAATCATCCCATCAGCAAGTACGTATAGTTTCTGATATACCCACAGGCAGGGACTGATGTATCGTGATTACTGCAAGAGCAGAGAATTGCAACACCTTAACATTTAGATGTGATAACAATAAATGTTATTGTATTCTAATTCAATGGGTTTTTACCTTTCCAACACCTGGCAACACAATAAATGTTACTGTATTCTGATTCAATGGGTTTTTACCTTTCCGTTAGCAATTAGGTCTGTTATAACACTAGTTTCAGACCTAGAACACTGATCAGCAAAGCAAGGTGGCTGGGGTGGGATAATTTAACAGTCCTATTGGGCAGTGTGGTAGAATTAAGTTTCTGAATAATTATCAGTTGAGATCAACGGAAAACTTTGAATATTATTAAGACATAATATGGGTGTTTGATAAATATAAGGATTGAAGTTAAAAAGATGTATAAAACACAAGTGCACTGGAATCTCGTCTCTCGGTACATTTAGCAAGTGCACCTTTTTCCTCAGCAGAGGGAAAGTTCCAAATGAGGTAGATAAACAACAATTCTTTTGGAAATTTGAATCACTACGACCTACAATGATTAATTGCACCTGAGATTCTCTTGCAGAAAAATAGGGGGTGGGCGGGAAGTGAACCAACAAATCTTTCAAAATGCAGATGTAAAGAATATGAGAGCACAGGGCAGGCACAACTATGGGATTGGTAGTTCCCACCAGATAATACACATACAACATTTTGAAGTTGGGAAACTCCTTTGCAAGTTGAATCTCCCAATATAACATACTTTTGGAAGGCAACCAATTATAGAACTGTGTCCATGGGATAGCAGCCAAGAACTCGAATGAATCTCGCAAATTCCTGTATAAAAGAAATGTTAATATATTTAGAAATGTGGTGCTCAAATCCTGCAAGCATGGCATACCCAATATATACAGCTGCAAAGAGAGAAAGAACATATAAAATAGAAGGAAAGACAACAATATTATGCCTCAATCCCAAGCGAGTTTAGGGTTGGCTATATGCATCCGCAATGCCTATTAAGCCCGTCTTAGTAGGAGAATATATTATTTGTATGTATATATGTGTGTATGTCTGTACGTATGTACACACACACATATATAAGTTTCTTTGGCACGTGAAGGAACAGAAGGAGATGACCAAAGAAAAAGCACATGATGTTCTTAGTTCTGTTACCCAAAACTCTACACACAAGCAAGGCAAGAAGGCAAAATTTCTCTCGCATTTTCAGACATTAACATGAATACATGATGATATTACCAAAATAGTAAGTGCAGTTAGAGGATCAAGTGACGAGCAGGTGGCACAAGACAGCAATTTCAACAGCAACAAGAGAACACATGTAGATGGTAATAGAGCCACCTTAGCAGCCTGTCTACTGTCTGAGGGGTCCTATAAGAGACAGATGTACTGACCTGAAGATGACCAAGAGCATATTGAGCACGAGGTTCTGCCATCGATGCTTCAAAGTCAATGTAAAAGAGGTAGTCAAAGTACCTGCCATCAATTTTAGTCACTTTCTCACACTCCACGACAAGACACATGCCTAGTTAAAATGTACCCTAGCCATGAGAAGAGAATGAAGCAACATGTGTCGGTATGTAAATGTAAAGGATCATCCGGGCACTGGTTGCTTCAGTCAGAAAGTTAAAGGACTGGAGCTGTTGGATGTTACTCAATCATGCTATGACTTAACATACACATTTATGGTTTGGAAATGTGGGGAAGGAAAAGATGATAATCGATGGAAGGGAGTATTACGAAATAAATATATGGTTTGAAAAGGAAGTCATGAGGGACTAGAAAAAGTCACATTCTTGGCTGCAGAAATCCTCAACTTTTGCTTCTTCCATGAAAATTAAATAAGGAAGAACACAAATTCTAAACTTCCAATTCCACCCTTCTCTTCCCTGGCAAAATGAAAAGGACAAACAAACACAGCCAACTGAATGACTCCTGCGATTCCATTTTTTTTCAAGGCAATTGAACTATTTCTCTTTCTTTCGTTTTTTGGTTTCTGGATAAGCTTTAGGCACTTGAACTGCTTATGAAGCAGTATATCTAACAATGTGCCTTTAACAATTTGACCACCAGAAATTAGAAGCAAATACACCATGTATCAAGGAGCGCTATAGTGGCATATTAAACATATACCAGAGGCAAGGACTAAGTTTACTCGCTTGGAGATTCATCTTTCCTCCAAATTATGCTGTTTTACCTACATGCTTCACTACTCCACAACCTTGAAAAAGGGCTATGGGGCATGGAGTGGGACAAGGTCACAATAAGGAATTTATTGTGGGAGGGAGACGACTGATCAAATGCAACCTTAAAACATCTCGTCTTTTTTCTTCTTTCCAAAATTGCAATTGAAAAAAGATGATTTTTACGAAACCATTTTTCCCTTTAGGAAGAAATTAGCAAAAGCTGTGGGTGTAAATCCAAAATCTCAAGAGAACTATTATATCAATCCATCAACTACACTCAATCCCAAACTAGTAGGAGTCGGCTATATGAACACTTTATAGCAATTCAATTCTATTCACAAATTCAATAAAAAAGGATTTATCATAGTTAATCTATTTTTACACTGGCTTTTAGCCCACCGTTACCCTCCTCTACTTGGGTTTGCGATTAGCTATAGTTTGTGAAACTCATATACTGGGAGTTCAAGCTTACATTTCTCAAAATTCCTAACTGAATTGAGATAACAAATTATATTAATGGAAGCCAAGAATTATAATTGGAAGATATCCAGAGTGGGAAAGATAAATCAAACAGAGCAGACGTGGTTTCAGTCAGTTACTATTCCAATTGCTTAGCGCAATAAACAGTTTTATTACTCACTTGGCACTTCCTTTATTGGAGTCATCTACTACCCTTAACGGGCGCTTCTTTTGAGGCCGGCTCTCAATCTGTATGAATGCAACAAAAACATATCTCAGAGCCTTTAACCAGAGAAGGGAACTACAGAAGCATTTCCAAGGAAATACCTTCGATAAATTGATCTCTCGCAGAGCAAAAACCGCTAAGGCCTTGAATAGAACTCCAGGCCCTTCTTCCAGAGTGAAGACAATGCTAGTCTAGATGTTGGGGAATGTAAAAGGGAATATCAATTATTTGCATAAACTAATAAGTTGGATGAATAAGAAATATGATATTACCTTATATGGCCTATCAGTTCCTGGAATTATGGGCTCCCTTGCTAGTATCAGAAATCTAGTGATATTATCTTGATCATCCTGGTTAGTGGGTCATTCAAATAAACTCATATTACTGAAGTTTTACAGCAGACTGCAGCAAATATATCTGACATATAGCTTTGCAGTTTTTAGCTGGATCTGCTTAGTCAAGAGGGTAGAATAATTTGCATGTAATTGTGATAAAGATGCTAAAAGCAGACAAAAGATTTAAATAATTAAACATCTTCTACCGTCGAGTACAAGTAGGCCACGGACTGCCTTGATAACTATGTTCTTAGATACAGGCACATATATCTCAACAAATGTTGTCGAACCCATAATTTTAACAGTACAATGAGTTCGGTGCAAGATTGGACCCATTAAATTTAAATACTGGAATCGCCTCTAGATACAGGGGTAGGTATCCGACCCTAGTGCGGATCTAGAGACCTGATTCGTCATCACATGAATATTAGGATTCAGAGGTGTATGTCGGCACATTTTTTTGTTGAAAAATTACTACTTAATATCTTCAGTCAACAATGTAATTTGACTCGACTTCTATTTAATTAAGTTAAATGACCAATGATTATTGTGTAATTATGACTTGACTTTCTATTTTTGATTAATTATCCAGAGTTTACTAGTTACTATTCAACTTCATCGACGGGTGCTGGGATATGACTTGAATATTTGGAGAAATCGACATGGGTGTGGCGGTTCATAGAGCAAGATATGAAGCTCAAAAGTTTCAAAGACAGCCACGAGGTTTGAACTCAAACCTAGAAGCATTACTATCTGCAACAAAAATGCATATATTGATGCTGAGCGTTGACAAGGAAGAATTATCCTTGAATAACCTCGCCACACCCCAAAACACCATCTTCGTAGTTTAACTATTTTGATGCTGGCCATTTACCATACTCCTAATTTATCTGGAGTTGTGCCCAAACACCAATGGAGATGAAATGTTTTAGCAGACAAGGTTCACAACCAGAACTGCCTCTGAAAGTTCATTCCTTCTTTTCCCAGATTACCAAAATGAAACAGATGCATCCTCATTTTGACGTGCATGCAAACTTCTTATAGGAAATGTATTTCTTGCTCGTTACATGATCTGTTTCTTCACTAATCAATTCTGTCCATATTGCTAGCTTTTACTCCTTAAGTTTCATATGGTTCCATGTGAAGATAGAGACAAGAATTGAAGGGCTAATAAGAAGTGTGCAAACTATATCTTCTGTCAACAACATTATTTACAGTACTTCTTAGATAGGGATAACTACAAAGGGCAGCTCGGTGCACGAAGCATCCTGCGTTCACGCAGGGTCCGGGGAAGGGCCGCACCCCAATGGGGTGCGATGTAGGTAGCCTACCCTGATGCAAGCATCAGTGGCTGATTCCACAGCTCGAACCCATGACCTATAGGTCAGACGGAGACAACTTTACCGTTGTTCCAAAGCTCCCCTTCATAGGGATAACTACAATGAGGAAAAAAGAAAGATCAAATACGAGCAATATCCTGTCTCACACTTTTAGAGTAACGTATAACTTTACCAAAATGAACCACTTAGCAATTAGGCTTACATCGCTTAACAAAGGAAATAACTTCCTCTGACCCTTCTGGCAATTTGAGATAAAAGATGAAAGGGAACTATCAATCCCCATGGTGGAGTCTTGTCATTCCACACATAAATCAAGCAAAAAGATGGGTGCAATTAACGAGAACTATAAATAAAAAAACTTGTAAAATTTTCACAATCTTCTTTTTCTGTAGGAAA